AGATGGGAGGACAGAAAGCTACTGTTTTCCCGACTTTCCTCCCGTTTAAACCTCTGTGACACTTACAGAAGAATTATTTGCTATTTGTTATCCATCATTTGTTGGATCCCATGAAAAAAGGGTGGCACACCTGGTAACAATTTCAAAAATTACAAAATCATCATACATGCCCAAAGTGAAAGTTCGTTGTATTGTTTCTTGCGCCCTCACCTAGTGACAGAAACTTAAACAGCCTGTAAGGAATAATTAAAAAAAAAATTTAAAAAATCTAGTACTGTTGTCTACCCATAACTACCACTCTTCCCCATCTAAATATAAGTATTTCTTCTGCTACAAAATTTCACTGCCCACACAATGATGCCATGCAAAGCATGTTTTTGGGGTGGAAGGAAACAGGTGGTATCAAGGGCTACCACTGAACCCTGAAGCCCACTGCATCCTTTCTTTGCAGCGTTTGATCAGCCCTGCTGTTGGCACCACCAAGATGCCAAAGAGGCAACCACCAGCCACTACGTCTTTGCAGTCACCACTAAGAGCAGGTGCATGCTCAACTAACATCATGCATGTCCCTACCCAGGGAAACCCACCAGCCTACGACACCTTGGGAGTCACTAAGACTAATATTTTATGTTGCAGAAAGGAATGAATATGTGAACAAGGAGCAGCCACCAAAGAACAGCCACGTTCATTGCCGAAGCGAGTCAGCGAAGGAGTGGCAGCTGATGAGCCCAGCTTAGCCGCAGCGCAACATCGCAACCTGCTTTCTGCAGCGTACGAGAGCTTCCCACCTTCAGCAGGGAGGTTCACTTGGCTCCAAGACTGCTCTGGGAAAGATCAGTAATAAACAGCTCAGTTATCTCTGCATGGCTTCAAGGGCTGGAGGCTTTCGCATGTATGGCAGAAATTCCCTTTCCTTGGATTCCTTCAGGGACCTTAAACAGCCTTTGAAATGTGATACATTGCACCCTGCTGATAAAGAAGGTTAATACTTTTTGCTTCTTTTCTCACAGAAGGGATCTCAATTTTATAATCTGCTACTATTTATGATTTACTCAAAGCCGATATTGAATTTTTCAGGCAGGAGAAACCAAACTACCTTGTTAAAAGATAAGGTATAGGGTGTTTTTGTCCAAGAAAGCTCTGAAACAAGAACACACTTTTCTTCTTTTTTTTTTTTTTTCTCCCCCAGTAGTTAATTTGTTTATTGAAAGTTGTGCAATCCACTTGCTGCCCCACAGATCAGCTTCTTTAGATTTTTTTTTCCCAGACCATTTTTTATTTATTATTTTGGCTACGAAAGCATGATGGTGGCATGTAAGCACATGGAATTTGGCTGGAGTCAATGAGGGCTGCGGCTGCAGCAAGCCTGTTTGCAGGAGCCTTGGACACCAGTTGCAAAACTTGGCTTCTTAATCAGATTTTGAGCACTTCAAAGAGGTTTCAAGTCTCAGGTTGGGGTTCATCTCCCTGACTTTGAAATCTGGATACACCACAAGCGCTTGGAGGCGTGCAGATTTCCAAACCATTTCTAACTTCACCAAATGAAAAAAAAAAAAAGGCCATGGAGTCTTAGAAAACATTTCAGGCCTGTTCTGAAGGCTTTGAAATCTTTTCAGGGAAGAGTTCTGAAAGGCTTCTGAGTAACTGGGTGAATGTTTTCTGAGTGGATTTTCACGCGGTTCCACTACAAGGTAATTCAATCCCCTTTCCTGCCTGAAGAACACACAATAACTCCTCATAATGGAAGGGGTGATTAGAGAGATGGAAGCCACCGATTAGATTATCCCTTCCACCCACCTGCCCGTGCAGGGTTGTTCCCTACAGCATCCACTGAAACCCGATATATCCAAGGTGTTGTGACTCAGCCGTCAACCTCTGTCCTGCTTCCAGCGTGCTCTGAGCAAGCACCAGACCTGGGGGAGAGGGAGGGGGGAAAGGACTTTTTTTTCTATATGGTGCAAAACTACTAATTTTTTGTAACAAAAATGCAGCAATCTGAATTTTTTATTCCAGTAACAGGAAAATGGGTTGCTAAGGGGGGGGGGGGG